TGTGTGTGTGTGTGTGTGTGTGTGTTGCTGACCTGTGTGTCTTATTTCAGAAAGACTCCCCCACCACCTCCAGGCAGTCCCCTGCCAATGGCCACTCCAGCGTTAACAGTTCTATCTTGGTAAGGACTCCGTCCCCAAAACAAACAGACAGACACACAACATCTCTGTCTGTCCCCTCTGGTGCGTCTCATGTGTGTCGTGGTTCTTCTTCATGTCCGTGTTCTTCCCGTTTATCACAGTTTGTTTCCGTTGTGACGTCAGTGACAGTGTTCGTCCCAGTAGAGTCGTACTGGGCTTCAGATCTCGGAGTTGATCCCATGTGTTTCTCCCCGTTCATCTGTTTGAGCCCAAAGCCCCGTGTCCGATATCTCAGTTTAAATTGGTGTGCCTCAGGCTGCTGCGTGCCGTGCTTCAGCGCTGACGCAACGCGCTCGGCCTCCTGCGGTCACGCTGGTGCGGGTGAAACTCGCTCTCTGCTTCACACTAAACCTGTCGGAGTTCTTTCTGGAGTCGCTCTCTGCCGAGCCTCCGGACGGACGGACGCTGTGGTCGTCCTGATGCTGCTTTGCTTGCTCTGCGCTCGCTTGGTTGCTCCACAGCTGGATCTGCTGTTACAGATGATGACCTCACTCCTCTCCTTTTCCTCTCTGTCTTTTTTTAAGAAGAGTAGTTAGATGGCAGATGCTCGTCTGGTTTACGTCTGAACGCTGCTTTTGTTTGACGTCAGTGTTTTTATTGTGTTTAACCTTTCCTCTCTGTCATCAATGGTTTTGTCCTCAGGACCTGCCGTCCACCATCCAGCCCAAAGGTCGACAGGTGAATAAGTCCCGCACTCACTCAACAGCTCCCTCTACTGTACAACGCTTCCCCTTTACACACCAGTGTGTCTATTTCTTTACAAACTTTTTTCTGCTTCACTAAACTTCTCAGGATCATTTAAATCATATTAATGTGTGTTGGAGGACAACACTCTGCAGCTGTGATTGAATCAGACTGGAAATGTTTTGTGAAATAGTTTTTTATTGATTTGAAGAACTTCATGTTTCAAGTGGTGAAAGAAACCAGAGATCCAGACTCACACGTCTCACTGATCCTGCTGTTCTCTAATCTTCACACACTGTGGTGTTTCTGGTGTTTCTTCACACGCTCCAATATTTTCCTGAGCTCAGTGACAGGAAATTAATTTTCAGATTGAAAAATGTGACCTGATCCAGAGGAAACCCCCTCTGAGACCCGTCAGGGGATTCATTTCATTACAGCAAATCGAGCAACGTCTCATTTCCCTTAAAGAGTGCCCCTGGTGTTCAGTTTGTTTACTGCACATTTAGCTGTAGAGGTACAAACCCACGATCACTCTTTTCTTAATGATCGAGTGTGATGAGTCCGATGTGACAGTGCAGAGCTTCCCCACCTTCATTCAAACTACGTGTGGTAATAATGGCACAGGCATTGTCGACCCTGCAGAGTCTAGAGATCCTAACCACTGATCACCTCATGGTGACGTCTACCTCGACACGGCCCGTCCTCTCCTCCACACGTCACCTGACTCCAATCATTTCCCCGACGTTACAGACGGAGAATCAGACTGGAGATAAAACTCAGTTCACCACGATCAGACTTAACATCCGTCACAACTAGTGAGTTCAGGTCCGAACGCACCCGAACATAAGAACATATTCAGAGGTGACCTCACTCTTTTCACTGTGAGAAGGCAAATGTGTCCGGGACCTCAGATGAAGGAGTCAGCTGACACCTCTTAAACACGAGCAGTGAACCCTCGTCAGTCAGAGGGACGTTGTGATTACAGATACTACCAGCAGGAGGCAGCAGCACCACATCAGACTATCATGTTCTGCAGTTCTACCTGTAAATTGTCTCTTTATGTTGAAGGAAGTACAATTTCAAAATAAGAGTGAGAAGTTCCACCCCCCCCCCCTGCTGTTGAATGTCCCTTTTTACTGCATGACCATGTGTGATGCTTTTACGTCCTAGATTGTGTCCAGACCTCCAATCAAGGACAAAATGTCTGTGAAGGTAAGAGCCCACTTCCCCCACCCCCACCCCCCCTCTAAAGAAATACGGACGTCTCCAGTTTAGTCTCGAACTCGTCGACCGGCTGATGAACAAACAGCTGAGAGTTAAAAACAGTCGACTGTTGTTTTGAACCACGTCAACGATGTCTGTGCCGTTAATTACCGGTGTGTGGTGAGAGGCTCATTAACGACCAGCAGCGTCTGGGTTCATGTCCCCAGAGGAAGCTTCCTTGGAAACCAGCCAAAACACCCCCCTGTGACCCCCCCCCCCCATGAGGGTCCTCTGCTCCATCCTCATGACGTTAGAAAGGAAAAGTCCGTCATGTTTCTCTCTTCCTGTCTGTCACATTTCTCCCTTTTCTTCTTCTTCTTCTTCATCGGTGTCTGTTTTTGAACCGCCCCCCTGTGACTCCAACGCCTGTAATGTTTGTTCTCTCCACCACAGATCTACGTGAGGGCCCAGTTTGAGTACGACCCCTCCAAAGACGAACTCATCCCCTGCAAGGAGGCCGGCATTCGCTTCCAGGTGGGCGACATTATCCAGATCATCTCCAAGGACGACCACAACTGGTGGCAGGGCAAACTGGAGAACATGAAAAACAGCACGGCCGGCCTCATCCCGTCACCAGAGCTGCAGGAGTGGTGAGAAAACACACACTCACATGCAGAGGACGACAAAACACGACAAAGTTGCTCCTCCTCAACTGTTTCCCTCCAGATAATTCAACACTGTAGATTTAGAGCCTTTCACCGACTGTGTGTGTGTGTGTGTGTGTGTGTGTGTGTGTGTGTGTGTGTGTGTGTGTGTGTGTGTGTGTGTTTCAGGCGAGTGGCGTGCATCGCCATGGAGAAGACCAAGCAGGAGCAGCAGGCCAGTTGTACCTGGTTTGGCAAAAAGAAGAAACAGTACAAAGACAAGTATTTGGCAAAGCACAACGCAGGTACACACACACACACACACA